CTGGTTGACATAATCAGTCTCGCATACACTATAAAACTCCTAACAATCGCTCAATGTACAGTACCTTCGTTAATCTCACTTGGCATCCCCCTTGCCCCAGTAAGCTATTTACTCCCTCCACCCTACTTAGCTTCATCTTTTCCAGCCTATTCAACTAACAATGTACCTAGTCAACAACCCAATCCTTTATCCCTTCAATTGCAACTACTATGTGTTTCACGACCTACCTATTATGGCAGAGAGTACTGGCCTAGGAATGGTGAAGAAGGATCATTTGTCATGGATGTGTTATAAGCTGAACATTCCCTATTCTGCTACCATGGGACAAACTCCACATTACAATGGCAGTTCACAATCGCTATGGTTCCTTCACAGAATTTAGAGATTTCCTTTAATTCTGACTCATCACCAATTCCCAACTAGCAATATCTGATTCTCCTTCATCTACACCACAACTGGCTCACATATTCCCAATAGCACATATTTAATAAACAATTGCTTAGCTTGTGACGAGAAGCTACTATCTAATCTCTGTAAAGGTTCATTTGTGTAGGCTCCTATGGTACTTTTTGTATAAACTTGGGTTCTCAAATGGTTACTATCATGGCTCTGCCTACTTTAGTAACCAATTGCATAGCCATCATGTGGTAGAGCATTGGGGATTAACTCAAGCATCTTTTTTTGATGAGTACATCGAGGCATATTTGAATTGTTTACGATGATTCCATGGTGACTATTGCTTCGAGCCCAGAAATATTTGAGAGAGCCTAAAGCTTGGCGGCAAACTGACATATCCTTCAGGTCATTGCATCCAGCTGGACCCAAGTTTTCAATGTCGATGGCACCCACAAAACAATCCAAGCTAGGATAGTTGCCCAGGTTTCAACAACCCCTGGATTGGACTATTTTGAGACTTTTCCGTCATTACGCCCCCTACAATAAATTATCCTCACCTTAGTTTGTCCACCAAGTGCTGGGACATCTAGTAGACTGATGTAAACCACGACTTTCCAATGGCATTCTGAATTGCGAAAGTATAATTAAGCACCTATAGGGTTTGAATAAGCCACTTCGCCTTCTTGTGTACATTGAACAAAGACCCTTTATGGACTTAAACAGGCTCCCTAGAGGCCTGGTGTTGACAAGTTGAAACATGCTCTTCAGCCAACAGGATTCAAGAACTCAGTCTCTGACTCCAACCTGTTCTGCCTAAACGACCATCTGGTCTAGCTATGCTTTAATGTATGTGTAGGTGATCACCTCTTAACAGATCAGATTCAATCATAGTTTCCCAACTGGTGCAAGGCCTGAATGATCGGTGCCTCATTGACTTTGGGCTCTCTTTAGTTATTTCGTAGCTTGGAAGCATAGATCACCCACTAGAATTTCATCTTAAACACATCCAAATGCTCTGCTTACTCTCAAACTAAGATGATTGAAGCTAATCCATGCTCTACACCTATGGCCATTGGTACTAAACTAAGTACCCATGAAAGTGAACCATTTAAGAACCTGAGTTTATACAGAAGTACCATAGGAGCACTACAATACTTAACCTTTACAAGACCAGATATTAGCTTCACTGTCAATAAGCTAAGTCAATTTTTACAAGCTCCAATCGAGCTACAATGGAAAGCTTGCAAAAGAGTACTTAGATACATTAAAAGCACATTGAATTTTGGGCTGCCATTCAAACCCGCAAGCTCCTCACATGTAGAGTGTTATGCTGATGCTAATTGGGGCAACAATATTGAGGATAGAAGGTCCAGAAGTGGGTATTATGTCTACTTGGGTCCTAACTTGATTCAATAGAGCTCAAGAAAACAGAAGGTGGTAGCCTTATCTTTTATTGAGGCTGAATATAGAGCCTTGGCCCGGATTGCTACAGAGGTTGCTTGGTTGCAAAGCATGTTTATAGAGCTAGGAATTATCTTGCATTTAACTCCTGTTATTTGGTGTGATAATGTTAGTGCAAGTGCCTTAGTTTCATACCTAGCTTTTCATACAAGGACAAAGCATATAGAAATAAATGCTCACTATATTAGAGAACAAGTTCTTGCCAAAAGTCTGGTGGTTCAATATGTCCCATCTAAGCTTCAAATAGTTGACTTGCTGACCAAACCTCTGTCTGCCCAATTCTCTGAGTTAAGACAAAAGCTAAACGTAGTTGCTCTTAACAGGCCTGCTTAATATAAATCTCTTCATTGATGTTCAATTTGTTTTGTTTTTCATTTGTTAGAGTTGGTGAACTCTATTCAATGTTAGATACCCATTTTTAAAGTGCAGCGGAAGATTTTACCAAGTTGATTAATGGTTATCAAGCTAAGCATGAATCAATAACCACAAGCAATAAAGATAAAGCACACAAGCATATACATGATTCGGCTAAAACTACTCTTAGCCTACATCCGTGAGACCTCATCCAGATCGAAGCTAATCCACTATAACAACAAACATTACAAGATATCACTCATTCAGAGTTGATTTTAACTACAATAAAGAGAACTCCTTGTTCTACGTTACACTAAACATGTAACACCCCCCTCCAGCCGGGTACCCTCTAAGTATTCCATTAGGATGGAAAAATTAGAGAATTCACGCCTGGAAGGTTGTGTATTTTAAAACGTAAATCTTGATTATTAACATGTACTATATGAAAATAAATAAATAAAAACTTCCCCTCTCATTTATATCACTTTCTTAATCAACCTATCAAGACATGACTATATATGAAAAATATGGTTTAAAGAAAATAACAACATCAATTGTTTTAATAGCGGAAGCAAATATAAAATATCTCCCATTATTTNCGATTAAATACTATTTTTGGTTCATTAAAAAACAAAATTGGTATCTAATGGGTTAACTTCATTTCATAAAAAAATGAAATTGGCAAAAATAAGACATAATTTTTATACTAATATTTTTACATGTTTGTTAATTAATTACTATTTTTGATTCTTGAAATAATTTGTCTTTCAATTTACCTAAATTATATCAATTATAAAACATGCAACTTTATATACCAAACCAATAAATCTTATCTAAACCAACCCGACTTAGTTTATTATAAGAGTTGGCTCGAGTTATTGAATCATGCACACCGCTTACTACCCTAATTATAGTTACAAGTAGCAATATAAAGTTGGAATCCAAACCTTGTAGAGACTATGCATAGTATCCGCAAGACTATAAGGGTAATATCGTCTTAGGATATTTAACGTTTTTGAAACTATAAGGGGCGTCTTGTAATTTTCCAAACCAAACCTAAAATAAAACCAAACCAAAACAAAAAAAACACAAACACGAAACTCTCTAATCAGAGAAGGGTTTCTATTCCTCCTCTCTCTCTCTCTCTCACACCGTCCTCTCATAACCTTTCTCTTCCCTTCCCTCTTCGTTTCTCCGCACAGAGGGAGGACAAATATCCCACAGAAACACCATCTATATATACACCTATACGTACACCAAGTTTCCTTTCAAACAATTCCCTTTCTTTCCTTCTTTTGCGCCATCTCTTCTCGAGGTTTTTTGGTTGTTGCCTCGTCGTTTTTGGTTGAGATTTGATATCGTTATGCAGCAAGGTGATCAGACGGTGCTTAGTTTGAGGCCTGGTGGTGGTCGTGGAAGCAGCAACCGACTCTTTGGTGCTTCTTCTTCGTCTTCATCGTCGTCTGCGCCTCCGTCCTTGGCGTTTGGTTCTTTCTCTTCTGATCTCCCTGTTTTACGTCCCCATGGCGCGGCGCCTGCCTCTTCTTTCCCGTTAACGGTATATTCAATGATGAACTGGGTTTGTTTTCTTTGGATCTAGGTGGTTTTTTCATCTGGGTTTGTGGCTCTTTTGGGATTGTATCGATGAGTTTTTGTTTGTGTTTTTGATGGTAGGGATTGAATTTTTGGCTAGAGCTTATTGGTTAATGGAAATATGGGATCTTTTGATTGATTTTGATATACTCTGTGTGTGTGTGTGATTATTGTCTGGTTTAGGTAATTTTCGGTTTTTCTTTTGCCACTTGAGCTTGGTGGTGCTATGCTTATTCTTTTGTTTAAAGAAAATTTGTAATTTTTTGGTTGTTGGTTGTTATGTGGGTTTATGAATGGGGTATGACAGCCGCTGAATATTATTGGGTTTTTTTTTCTTCCTATTTTCTAATTTATGGTTGTGTTTATGGGCAGAAATATGGCTTGTTTGGTGTCAAAAGTTAAAATTTTGATGCAATTTTGTTTCTTTTGAAAGCAAGATGATGCTTTAGAATATATATTAAGTGGAAGATTGAAAAGTTTATCTTTTTGTATTTGCATCAGCATTGTTGTTGCAAGTCCATTGTATATCGTGGTTTGATTTTCATCCAAAACCAAATGAAACCCAAAAAAAAAAAAAAAAATTAAAATTTTATGTGGCATAGTTGTTGGAATTAATGCCTTAGAGTGGAGATAATGTAATGTCCTAATTCTTGGTGTGCACATAAATACGTGTCTCGCTGTAAATATGGACGGACAAGATATGTAGGCTTAGGTGGGCATCTGTGAGTTGTGGGGTTGCCCATGAGGACCTATGGATATTTTGGCTCATTTAAGAAGATTACAATTTTTCCTGTAGAAATTTAATTTTCATTTAATTCGTAAATATTGTTTTTTGTTAGTCTTTCCTGCTCATCTTCCTTCTTTCACTGATTTCTTCTTGTAGCAATTTGCTTTAGCTGTTTTTGAAGTTTTTGACCCTTTCGTTGTAGACTGGGATGCAAGGTTTGAGAGTCTGAGCGTGTGCGATACACTCGGACCACTGTTGCAGCTTAGAGAGGTTATATGCTTGTGATGCTTACCGCTTTTGATATGCAACATTCTATTGCATATAAAATTTAATAAGAATCATCATTTTGATCTCTTTTTTCTAGAATATGTCTGAGTATGCACCTTATCTCCTTGTAGACTATTTTGTCTCTGATGATATTCTCAAATTAAACGAGAATTTGATGCTGAAGTTTTGGTGAAGAGCCAAATGGGGTCTTGCTGACGTGGAAAGTAATGTAGTTAAGTTACTGGCCAAATTTATTTGCTTTGTTATTATTCATTTATTTTGGCTTGTGGTTTTGTGTGCAGGTGTGGTTTTGTGTGAGGGTGGAATGGTTATTCTATGGCTGGCTGAAATTTTTTTTAATCAGATTTGTTGTTGTTTGCATCCAATTTCTTGGATTATTTATAACTCTTTATTTTTTTTTTTTTTTTTTTTTTTTTTATATGTTACTTTTTCATATGACAATCTTTCTGCCTGCCTCCAGCCTCCAAATCAACCTCAGAGTCGTTATTCTGAACCAGATAATCGTGACTGGCGCCGTCCTGCACAGTTTTCTCCCTCTGGAGAGGAGAGATCACGAGACAATAGAGAGTATGGTGGACGATATGAGTCCAGACAGGATGCAAATCAATTTAATCGCCAAGACCTCAATCACCAATTTTCAAGGGCACAAATCTCGTCTAACCAAGGGGTGAGACATTGATTTAATCGATCTTTTTATTGACTTCTGTAGTTTTATTTGTTTATTGTATCACTTAAGTTTCTAAAGGGATATATTGTCTTGGCTACAGGGTACTGTTGGTATGTGTATATGTTATATTGTTCTTTCTGTGTTATTGAATTGTTTATTGAGTTTTAAACTGCTTCAGCAAAGATTACACAGACCACAAGTATTATTATGGAAACGCAGTCTCTTCAGATGGTCTTAATTTGTAAAGGCACAATGTGCTTCCTCCTCAAATTATCTGTTGCATATATAGTATGAACTGGGTCAGTTATGGTAGCTTCCAATTAGCTTGTATCCAATACCTAGAAGTGTTGATCAAGAGTTATTCACCAGCACTTGTATACATGTTACATAACCGTTTTTTTAGCTAGGATTGGTGTACTTGGAATTTACAATTGAAGCCACAATTTTCCCTTTTGTTTAATTTTTTATTTTAAGTTTTGACTTAAAGCGAATGAAATATTTCCACTGACAATTACAAAAGAAGTTTATTGCTTGTAGAATTCTTCCATTGTCTATTTGTGGATATTTTTTTGACTCTAATTTCAAAATGTATTTTATGTGTTGAATTAGGGACCAGCTCCTGTTTTGGTCAAGGCTGAGGTTCCATGGTCGGCTAAAAGGGGAGGTCTCTCTGACAAGGAACGTGTCTTGAAGACTGTAAAGGGGTAATGCTTTTATTGATTTATTTTCTGCAATGTAATTAGTGATTGAAAACTGATATTAACAACCTTGGTAACATAATCATTGTTTTAATGTTTGAGTTCCAAATATAATTTAGCACATGGTGAAGGATGTTATTCTTAATTAATGAATTATTCAATGGTTGATTTCTGATGTAATCCAAATTTATTGCTTGTAAATGGCTCATGAAACATGAGTAGCGACTGGTTTTTGATTCTTATATTCTGTTTCCTTTACAGTATTTTGAATAAACTTACCCCTGAGAAATTTGATCTACTTAAGGGTCAACTCATAGACTCTGGCATCACNCGGTAACATTATACTTAAATAACCGGTTCTATTCGGAATCATATAACTAACAAATGTTAACTCAAGGAAGCACATAACTAACATTAGATGAATGGTTTGTGTCAAATGATACTACTTTTAGACCAGCACCTCTCAGAAAAAAGGAGGAAAAGGTCCATGAACATGAAAATGGGTGGCAAAAAATACTAAAATGATGACAACTTTTGAGTGGGAAAGTGACCTGAAGTGGAATTTTACATTTCTAGTGAATGGAATTTTCCTAGAGGGGTCTGGGCCTAAAACTCGTTCCTAAGACCCGTCCTTGGTAGGACCGGACCAGGCCCAAGGGAGATGGCACTGGTCCCAGGTGTGGGCTCGTTAATTTTTAAAACCCCTCAAATTACATAAACCCTTCTGAAAAGTATTTAAAACCTTCCTATAATATACATGATAAATTTAGGTGTTAAAATATAAGCATAGGACTAGTCTGGGCTCTAAGAAAATTCATGGGCCTAGGACCAGTCTTTCAAGATTTGGGCTTGGTCCTTCAAGGATCGGTCCCAAATTAGGTCTGATCCTTGAGGGCCCAGCCCTGGGACTGACTGGACTTGTCCACCTCTAAATTTTCTCATTTTAAAAGAAAGAATGTTTTATATATCTATGTGAACGATTGTATATGTGTTCGTTTAATTGGTATTAAGTCATATTAATGACTTGATTTGTTGATACGACTGAATATGATTTGTATTTAGCATATAATAATATGGTCTAAATAAATAATAGGTTTAATGAGCAGGTCCAACATGTGAACTCTTTTAGTAATTTAATTGATACAGTTTAATATATCGATCTTGTTCATAGTTCAACTTAATTATATATGATTTAATTAGTATATAAATTATTTATTTATTTATTTTCTTATAATTGAAGGGATTGAAGAAATATTGACAGATGATGGTGAATAATGAGTAAATTTTTTATTCAGTTAATCTATCAAAAAAAAAAAAAAATGTTCTAGAAAATAACATTATTTATGCATTCATCATTCAGAAAATTTGATATTTATGTGAAAAAAAAAAAAAAAAAGAGAAAGAGAAGAAAACTGTATATGACCAACATTGCGTTTAGCCATGTGCATTAAACATGTTTGATTGTGATTGGCGGATCTAGAAAATTTTTTTAGGGAATGGGCTCTAAATTATGAGTTGTTGAAGGGTCGTATTGCAATATTTTTTCTATTAATCCAATGGTTCATAATTTGATTTTAGATTTTAGCATGAGAAAGATTTATAACATATCACATCAGATTTTGCTTAGAAAAATAAAAATAAAAATTTCTTGCAATTTAATTTATCGAGGAGCGTTATACTTACAATTTTTTCATACAACTCTAATGTGATAACTTATGATTGGTCAGCTTACAATGAGTTTTATTTGTTCAAATATAAACGATCAATTACGAGTTATCATCTCAGAATTGTATAAAAAAATTATAAGTGTAGTTTTATTATTATTTAATTAATCTAGTAAATTGGTTTTATTGATATTTGATAAGTATTTAATCCGTAACAGGTAGTATTAGTTATAATGTGGACTCTGCATTTCCAAGTCAAGTGCCTCAAAAAGGTTTATACATACAAAATATGATAAGTTATAAATAGTATAACGTGTGAAGAAGATAGATGATAAACATTTTACTATGGTCGGTTGAATCAATTAATTTTCAAGACGAAGAATCTCAATTATAAAACTAATTAATTTCAGCTACCTTATAAATAATTGCAATTAAATCAAGATAATTAACATTTGATTAAGCCGTGAAATAAATAAATAATTAATCAAAAAATACAAAACAAAGGAACAAAAGATGAAACAGCCAGCAACAAGGAGAGAATAAAAATTAAAAAATCCGACTACTTGGAACAGCTGCCGAAGTTTTCCCCCGTCGAGCCCGAACTCCAACGCCGCCGGCAGCGATGCCACCACCACCGCCACCTCTTCCACCTTTCATCGCCTTAACTCTCAGCTGCTTCTGCGGCTCAAACGAACTGGGGTTTTTCACGCCCTCTTGTTGCAGAACAAGCTGCTGCCGAAGACTGAAAACTCTTCTGAAAGTTTTCGAGGAAGAAACTTCTGCTTCAGGAGCTGCAAAGGTCTGAAGAAGAGGAAGAAGATGAGGGAGAAGGTGAAGTTGAGGGTGAAGTTCGCCATGGTTGTTGAGGAGGAATAAGAACTTTTGTGCGAGTAAACTGAAAGCTGTGGGGTGTTGTCATGTGGAGTGTGGACAGTGATAATGGAAAGCTCGCGACTTTTTATTAATGTATATTAATGGGCATGTTTGATTTATTATTTCTTACCATATTCCCAATCTTATTCTCTAAATAATGTTTGACACATTATTTTAGAAATATTATCTTATTTTTTTATTTACTTTTAAACCATATAAAGTTATTAATTTAATAAATACCTTTTGAAAAAAAATTTAAAAATTAATAAAAACACTCCCGCGACCCATACTTGCCAGATTCCGGCAACTACCGAATCTATCACAACGGTGAATTACTGATTCGAACTGGCCGTAATTCATCGATTTGATATTTTTTAGCCAGATCCACAATAAATTTGGCTGGAAAATGCCAGATCTGACCGTCAGCGACGACCAAATCTTGGCCATCGTTGACCGAAAACAACGGCCAAAGATGGCTGTCATTTTGGCATTTTCCGGCCATCAACGGCCACAACAGGCTGTAGATCTGGCCTTTTTCAGTCAGATTCGTGGTGGATCTGGTCGGAAAATTATATTTTTGGGGCAAAATTATATTTTTATAATAAATTTTACGATTTTTTTTTTATTATAAAGGGAGATATATGAATATATTTCAACTTAAAAAAAAAAAGTTCTTTCAATAGTTTATAAAAAAAAGTATGTTCATGAAAAATATGCTTAAATAAAAGCATCACTTGGTGACTTAGCAGTCAACTACAACTCTTAAGTGTATCATTCAAGAGGTCTTGAGTTTGATCTATCTGGGTTGCTTCTAGGGTTGATCACTTAGGAGTTTTATCTGACTGTCAACTTTAAGATCCTGTGAGATTAATTGAGGTGCGTACAAACTGATCTAAACACCCTCGATCACAAAAAAAAAAAAAAAAAAAAGCTTAAATGTACCTAGAAAAGCTAATGTACTTTAATGATATAATTTTTCATTAAACTAATTAATTCAGGCTAGTATAAATTTATCAGCTTTGTTTAGAAAGTATTAAAAACATCACTTTCATTATCATAAAATCCTTTTTCAAAATAATCAAAAACCTATTTTCAAGGGGTATTTAAACTACGCCGTTTTCGTCTGCATATATGAATAAAAATATTTAAAAATTATAATAAATCTAAAAATAATTCACCTATATTAAAATTATAATCAGCTTTCAAAATTCATAACCTTGCGCGCTTTACAAAAATATTCACAACTGAAATGCAAATGAACAGAAATTCAAAATCTTCAGCTTCAAACGACGAAACGGTTAAGCTCGCCGTCGCCATTTCTCTTCTCCGATCAAAGCTCCGCCTTAATTAAAATCAAAGCACTCAGCCTTCTTCTGAATCCGAGGCTTTTCGCTTGAAGCAGAAGGAAGGTCTCTCTAAATCTCCATCAACTTTTACGAATTCAGTTGTCTCCGTAACTAAACAGATCCTAATGTTTTGTTTAAATTTCAGGCAAAGAGTTGAAGCAAGAGCTCATCTGGTTGAGAGAGGATCTAAGAGAAGCTGAAGGGTAGGTTCTGAATTTTTTTTTTTGGGTTTTAATAATTCATTGAATTTTTTATTTAATTGTTTGATTTTGGATCTAGGTTCTTCGCATTGCGATTTGTTTGCGCAATCGGCTTCTTGCAAGTGCTATTTCTTTTATAATTTGGGGAAATTTAAGCCCTAAGATTGACGGAGATGCCTTTCATCGTCGATTCAACGACTTCATTTTTATTTATTTTCTTATTGTTGCATGTATGATAATCATCAACTGCCGTTTCTTCTACCTTGAATTTCATTTACTTAGTATGGAGTTTTTTTTTTTTTTTTTTTTTTTTTTGGTTGTGCTAATTTTAGTTTACTTTGGAACGATAAATTGAAATGACTAATCTATTACATATTACAAGTTTGACATTTATTTTAGTATACTTCTACATTCAATTTTGAAACATTTTGTGACTTTTTGATTTGCTATATTAATGTGAAAATTGGAATTCAGGAAATTCTAGAGTACCTAAGCTGAGATTTTGCTTTCCTGATTGCTGGTGGTGAATTTCTTTGACATTATGATGTCGAATCTTGAGTATTTATGAGCAAGAATGTGGTTTAGTATACGTCTGTTTAATGTTAATTTTGTTACAAATACAGAGTTGAGCAATGAAGATAAGGTGGAGCAGCTTAGGGCCTCTGTTGATTTTATTGTGGAGCTTTGGCGACACTGTTTCTTCGGTTAGAGTGACCTACTGAAATTTTCCTTTGTGCTTACAGTCTACATCATCACTGATCTGCATTGTATTACTAGGTTGGTGCGCCTTACAATTTTTGCAGGCAAAAGAGGGTAATTTGCAATGGTCTCACCAACTGTGGGCTTCATTTAGGTGAGGTGCTCGCATGAGAAGCTTTAATTGTATTAGTATATATCTGTATCAGTACATCATATTTCAACCACACTAGACGTAGCACAAAACATCAAGGTCTAGCAACATTTTTCTTACAAAAGAATAAAGTTTGTTCCCTATATGATCTAAGAAATGACAATACTTGTACCTCCATCTTCTGTTGAAGACCAAAGGACCAATTAACACCCCAGAACCCACCACAACATCCAATTGGCATGCTTACATAAAACCAGTTCACTTCGTGTTCATACTCGTCATCTTCTCTTTCTCATGGTTTGGCATGTTCAGTCGGAGTGCAATCTTAGGAAGTGGATCTCCCCCAAAGTTCATTGCCATCAAAACAGATTGCATCAAAACTTGTAGTTGAGTCGCC